CACACCCATCACCCCCATATGCCCAACTCTACTAGGCAGCAACACACATTTCATTCCATAACTGCCATGCTGGGGAAAAAAGCTGAGATGGATGGCCATCACAATGGAAGGGTGCAGGGATCCTTATTCTCATGAGCCTGTGCCTGTCCAGTTTCCTGTCTTTCACCTTGGCAAGTGTGTTTTGCAACAGCAGAAATACATTTTTTTGTCAACTCACAATGGACTGAAAATAAAGAAAAAGAAGAAGTGCACACTTCAGAGATGTGGAATGCTTTTAATTTGAAGAAAAGAAAGGAAAGAAAAGAAATAGTCTTTATTTACTTTGATTTGACAAACATGTCTTTCTCCAACTACGGCAGGGTAGTGAATAATATAGGACTTGAGTTATTCCTTTTATTTCAGCTGCTTCAGTCTGCAAAGGTTGTCAAGGAAGATTTGTTCGTTGTTTTATGCCAAATGCCTGTCCTGATTAAACCTGGGCTGGAACTCGCAGCCTCGAGATAAAAAGACTGCTGCACTGACCACTGAGCTACCGCAGGTTGAGTGCATGCAGATAAATGGACTAATACTCATTATGAACCTCAGGATCACTCTTAGGACACCCACATGAATTATATTCATTCTGAGCACTGAAGGGTGTAAGGCAGAGTTCCAGGTTCTGAAAAGATATGATGCGGGCAAATCTGCATTCATCTTTGCAGCTCTTTGTTCCAGTTAAACCCACCCTGAAAAATCTGCCACCTGAGATATGAACTAACTGGGCGCAGACACAATGTTACTCGAACAGAAGTACAGAATGAGTACATTTTACTGAAGTTATACATATTTTAGCTACCATTCTTCGACTTTACGTTTTAGTTACTATTTATTTCATAATGTAGCCCCTGTTTTGCTATTTGTGGTTTTTAACTCATGTTCTTTTTTGCTACAGTAATATCTAATTTTAGCTATTATTTGGCTGATTTTAGTTTTAGCATCTGTTTTTTTATTTTTAGTTTAGCTACTAGTTTGCTAGTTTAGCTGTTGTTTTGAACAACCAGATTTTAACATCCGTTTTGCTTATGTTCTTCTTTTAGATTCAGCTCCTGGTTTGCTTCTTTTAGGTTTTAGCTTCTATTCTGCTCCTTTTAGATTTTTGCAACAGGCTTGCTATTTTTATCTACTGTTTTTTCTCTTTCTACGTTACACAAGTATTTTCCTTTCAAGCTCATGTTCTATTGGTTTTAGCTTATTATTATGTTCTTTCAGCATGTGTTTTATCCCCAGTCATTGCACACCTTGTGGTGTCTCTGAAGAGGACACCTCATCCCTGATATCCTGATAATTCAGGCCCCAGTGTTTCTCACCACCACTGAGGAGCTGACATCCCAGTTCAACTCTGTCTGCTTAAAGACTATGGATGATGTCGCAGCTGTTAAAACTGGAAAATCAAAAATCAAAGCAGAACCTTGGCTGAGTGACTTCACCAAGGCCGTTAGGCAGCAATGTAGGAGGGCAGAACGAAAGTGGAGGAAAGACAGGCTGCAGGTCTCTTTCCAGATACTTAAAGAGAGTTGGCGCCGTCATCAGAAAACAGTAAAAGCTGCTAAATCAAAATTCTTCTCTGATATAATTACCTCAAACTCTCACAACCCACGTGTCCTCTTCTCCACCCTAAACTCTGTTCTCCACCTCACTGAACCATCACCTCTGGAAGCCTCAACTGAGCTGTGCGACAACTTCTTACATTTCTTTTCGGAAAAAATTGCAACCACCAGGGCTCTCATTTCCCCTCCAACTCATGACCCATCCATCCCACCTCAGTCTGTAGCTCCTTTTGACCATTTTGAACCCATCACTCTATCTTCTCTAGAGCAGGTCATGTGCAGCTTGAAACCGTCTGGCTCCCCCTTTGATGTGGTCCCCCCTCGACTACTAAAGGAGGTGTTTCCAACTCTGGGTCCGTCCATTCTTGCCATAGTAAACAGTAGTTTATCCACTGGCGTGGTGCCAAAATCCTTTAAACATGCTGCTGTCCAGCCTCTCCTGAAAAGACCAAACCTTGACCCCTCAGTCATTTCCAACTTCCGGCCTGTCTCCAAACTCCCATTTGTTTCTACAGTACTGGAGAAAAATAGTCGAGTCCCAGTTGAAGGGCTTCCTGGAGGATCACGCCATCTTAGAGCTTTTCCAATCTGGCTTTAAACCTCTCCACAGCACTGAAACTGCCCTGCTGAATGTCTTTAACGACATCTTCAGATTCACAGATACCGGTGATTGTGTGCTGCTTGTCCTATTGGACCTCACAGCCACCTTTGACACCATCGACCATGAGATCCTCATTGCTAGGTTGGAGCAGTGGGTGGGCGTCACAGGATCAGCCCTCGGTTGGTTCAGATCTTACCTCACTGACAGATCCTTTTGTGTCTCCATCAAGAATTTTAGTTTCGCAGAGGCAGAGCTTAAATGGGGGGTTCCGCAGGGGTCCATCCTGGGTCCTTTCCTATTCTCTTTATACCTGCTGCCGCTTGGTGCTATTTTCCGGAAACACAACATGCCCTTCCACTTCTATGCCGATGACTGTCAAATTTACTTCCCCCTAAGACACAATGGTACATGCTCTATTCAACCGCTGCTCAACTGCCTGGCTGACATCAGGGACTGGATGGCTTTAAATTTCTTAAGTTTCAATGAAAAAAAGTCTGAAGTCATGTTGTTCCCTGCCAACGACACGATCACAAACCACTGCATCGACCTTTCCGCTCTAACCCTGTCAGAAAAACAAAGAGTCACTAATCTGGGAGTGACAATGGACCCTTCCCTGAAGCTTAACAATCATGATTGTAAAATCATGCTTCTTCCAACTGAGGCGG